AATTTATAAATTGACATTTTTAAATATTATTATTAATTATTTTGAAAAAAATATCTATGAATTAATAAAATTAAATATATTTATTGTATTATTTATATAGTCTTAAAATTAATTAAAAAAAAAAAGAGTAGCGAGAGAAGTCAATACTTGAAGAACTATAGTCTCTATCCTAAAATTTTAAAATTAACAATATACTATATATATTTATTTATTCATGATTCGTACGATATGGAAGAGCATCCATAATCTTGCTTCCATCTGGGGATATCAAAATTCCAAACCATTAATTTCCCACGTACCATATGGTACATATATGTGCCAAACCGAAAGTAATGAAATATTGCAAGTATCAAGAACACATGCATGAGGCTGTTCAAAGGAAAGGCAACATTTGGAGGACCACAAACACTTCCATCGAAGCTGAGCTAGGATGAATTTAATGTGGCGTGGGTTAAGGTTTATGGTCCTTTTCCTCCTTGATAAAATTGGATTGGAGATCTACATTGATGATTTTCATTCCAACTTTATCACAACATCCATAGACAAACCTTTGCACAGCTCTAGAAAGTCGAATAACCAAGCAAATAATCTAGTTCTTTATTTGTGGTACCGAAATTTGTCAGTGTATAGTCTGAGGGAAGAACTTATGGTATGATCTCGATATACATGGGAATAAAATATACTATGAACTTTAATGCACAAATATAAACAATGCTTTATTTCTTTGCCCTCAATTGGGTGTCTCAGGTCACATTCATATGTAGAGATGAACAAGAAGGGATTTAGAAAAAGAAAAATAATATTATAAATTTATAATATCATATATTTTTATATAATTAATTTTTTTATTTAAATATTTACTTATGATATTGTATATATCTATTCATTTAATATTACATATATTTTATTTAATATCTTGTAAAATTATAAATTTTACGTGATATTATAATTATAAAATTATCAATTATACAACTTATCATTATATATTAGGAATGTAGATTTTTAGGTTGACCCTACATAAAAAGAGTTGCAAGAATGCTTATGAAAATTTTAAATATCATTAATGAATTCTGCGTATGAGTGATTTATTCATTAATGATATACTTAAATAATTTTACAATCATTTTTACACTTTTTTTCTTGTAAGATGACTTAAAAAATACTTTTATGTTATATATATTTATAAAACAATACTTTTATCCTTTTTGTTTTATACTCACTAAATTTCAAAATCTTTGATTGCAAAATTAAAATTAGAGATTTTGAAATACGAAAGATAAAGCAACTCATGACTCATGAGCCCAATAATGACCATTTATAGGTTTTTGGTCTAAGCCCATTGCTGGTGACTTTGTGATCTACTAATTACTAAATTAATATGGATTGAGCCTGGTTCTAGTTCCGGGCCATAGGCCTTTTCCTTCTATGAAACTACCCAAAGTACACATGCAATTCATGGAAAATGCGGAACGTAGTTGGCCGGTTGACGTTTTCCTCGCATTCTTTTAGAATTAATACCACATATTTTGATATTTGAAATATTCAAATTATTTATAAAATTATTTAAATATTTTTAAAATTAGAAGTACTTTTTATATGTTAAATTTTAAATATGTTTTAATTTATTATTATTATTATTGATATTTTAATTGTTAACATTAATTTTTCATAATCTCATCTTAGAATATCAACTATTTTGCCATAAAGAACAAAAGAAAATATTTTAGAGTTTGAATTGAAAATCATCAATATAACATGCCTTTTAATAATAGGGAGAATTCCTCTATCTAATAATTAATTTTTTACAATTTAATACAATTAAATGATAAGATATAAACTTTAAAAAAAGGCATATCAATAATTTTTTATTATTTTAAATTATATAATAAAAAAACAACACCCCCTTATCCTTTTAAGTTATATTAACTTAAATATTAAGATCTTTTCATAAAATTTCTATTACGTGTGGAGGAATGGTTTGTCAATTATTGTCAATTATTGTATTATAAAAAAAAGGGGGGAAAGTGACTTATTTTTTTGAATTAATTTGATAATTTTGAATAATTTAATTTAAATTAATTAAAAATAGATACATGACATTTATAATTTAAATTAAATTTAACTTTCATATTTTTTATAAAAGAATTTCACATTTTTCACTAAAAAATAAAAATCATTAGTCATTTATTGACTTTATTCTATGTCTTTATAGTATAAAATAAAACCAATATGAAATTAATGAGCTACTTAATATTAAAATAAAAAATATAATTAATGCACTTGATACAAGTTGTACAAATCTATTAATTTTAAATTAAATGTTATTTAGTGTCATAATCTCCTCATTTAATATTCATATCCTACTTAAATGTCAAATGAGGTAGGGTAAAATATAAAGATAATTTGTTAATATAATTTTTATTTATAATAATATTTATATTTTATTAAATAAATACATATAATATTTTATAATATTTTTTTTTAAATAATTTGTAATTATTTATAGGGTTAATTGAGAAAAGAGAGAAAGTGATTCCGTGGGACTTGAACGTGCAACCCACGGAGGTGAACAACCCTAATCTAGAGTTCAATGTCATTGGTTCAGAGTGAGCCCGTTCTTCTATAATATTATCACTTTCTTACTATTAATTGATTTTAAATGAGATATTTAGGATTTTTTTGTTGTCTAAAAATTCTCATATCAATTAAGGAAAAAAATGGTTATATCCCCGATTCAGTCCCTGAACTTTCATTTTTGAACTAAAAATACCCTCGAACTAAAAAAAGTATTAAAAAAATCCCTAAACTTCAATTTTTGGAACCATTTTAGTCCTTCCGTCGACGGAAGTGCCAGGTGGCACGTTAAGTTGCCACGAAATCAAGCTTT